GGCAACTGGCTTGAGTCAGTTTCTTCAGTGAAGATTATTTTTATTTTCTTACTAAGTTTTACAAATTCAGGAAAGAAAGGAAATGAAACATTTCATATTCAGGTACAAACTTTCAGGAGTGAAACATGGCCCTTTGCCAAGGGACTAGGAAGAAAAGACTGGGTAAGGGAAGAAAATCTTACTTAGTAGCTTCTTGAAGAGAAAAAGAGCCTAGTCAGGTGCTGCTTCCCTCTCAGCTTACTCATTTATTCTTGAGCCGAGATGTGCTTCTCTGCTTTGCTTCTTACACCAACTGAAAAGATTAAAATCTTTCTAAACTCTTAAAATGTGTTTAGTCTCTGTAACGGTGCTCGGGGAATCGTACCATTCAGAGAGAGTGCAGAACGAGCATTGCGGTTTCTGAGAAAGGAGGTTTTCTGTCCTCTCTTAGGAGTATAAAGGGACATGTATATTTTCTTTTACTTTTTCCTTTGGGTGCAGGAACAGGGTGGCTGAATCTTTGCTGTGCCCTTACGGTTGGAGGTGCATGGTTCTGAGTAATTAAAGCCTCAATATGTTCTCTTCCTAAGCTGTTGTCTGTTGGAAAAAAAAGCTGAATGCTTTTAATAGTAAAGAAGCCTTTGAGGAATGGGCTAGAGGAACTGAGTCAAGTTTGCATTTAAACCAGACCATGGATTGGAGAGTACACTAGAATTCACTTTCAGCCAGAATGATTTATTGAAGTGTTGAGATCACAAAGATATAAACTCACTGTATGGCATGAACTGCATTTATTATCTTTTATTCTGTTCTCCAACTGTTTATGACAGTTTTAAAAAGTTACTACTTTTATTACCTTTTTTTATTTGGCGAAACTTTTGAAAAAACAGCCTGTAAATTTGTGTCTGTAAAATGTAAATTCAAATTTTGCACTCACAGTTGAATGTTGGAAGGATGCAAGTCTTCTGTGAGGCTCAGGTAGAATGCCTACACTTCAGTCCTATAGATGGAAACTTTCTGGAAAAAATGCATCTACAGAAAAAGGGCTTAGAAAATTAAATTCAATTTACTGGAACCTCTTGGTTAAATGACGAGAGCCAAGTTATGTGTTGGGGCTGATGTTGCAGAGATGAAGATAATTCTCTTTTAAAACTTTCATGGAACACAGAACATCTGAGTCACCTGAAAGTTTAAAATGTCACCTACTGGAAAACTTAAGTTTGTATTGAAAACAAAAGATTTCCTATTACTTTTCAGAATTATTTGCTGTCATAAACATTTCAGGGTAAAAAAACAATTAGGTAACCTTCCTTTCAGTTCTTTCACACTGCTAACTATTCAGCTGAATTAAAGAATGACTTCAGGGAACAGAAGTGTTGTCTAGGAAAAAAAAAAGTTAATTGATTTTGATAATAGTAAAATTATAGAAATAATACCAGTGTGCAAGAACACCTCCTTCACCTCAGCACAACTAAGGGTCTTCGTTACCACTTTGACTTCTGTTTGCAATGCTGATTTAATACAGTAGCAAGAAAGAGGAAAAGTTTGCACATCTTTAGCAGAATCATTAGCAAAATTTCATGCCATCAAAATATATGCAACTGGTACATTTGCAGAAACAGAAAGGACTCTGAGTTGGTGATGACAGGGAAAGGAAGCATCTTATTCCCATAAAATGAACGGGTTTGGTTTGGAAGTGCAGGATTAAATTCCATGACATTAGATTCATGAGTGACTTCTATTATTTATTGGTTGTACTATAGTATTGCTGCTAGAGACCTTAATGTATGGATCTCTGTGACCTAAGAGCCACTTTTCAGAGTGCAAACATTGCTAAGGCCCATGGTATTTCTAGCATTATACAATATTTAAAAAGCTGTTGAGTGACATATCAAAATGTTTTAATAACCTTTTTTATCTAGCTTTGACAAACTTAAATTCACTGTCTAAGAGCTAATTATACAAGATTCTGTACTCCAGGAAATTCATTGCTGATGGCAAACAAGGTAGCTGTTAGAGGCTACTGCTGTTTAATTTTGTACCTTAAACAAAACTCGCTGTAAGCAATTTCATCCTATACAAAGAAAGAGTCTCCCTTTCACAAAAATTTAGAACACAGAATATATCTTTGCTTATAATTTCTAAGTAGTAATTTTGTATTAAACGCTAAACACTTATTTAAGGAGTAAATGATCAAAGCTACATTTGCTTTCATGTAATAACATCATGTAATGAGGATTCTAATGCATGTTTGGAATAAGGAATATATATTACTGTACAGTATTGTAATTAACATGCACTGGAATGTAGGGCCACAAAAAGAAAGATATGGAAAAGTTGTTTAAATTTTAATCTTCTGGACTGAGCAAATCAATGGAATGTCATACTTAAAGATTTTTCAGGCAAGACTAAACTCCCCAATAAAGCAGGAGTGATAACTTACATAATGAAGTGCTCAGAATATGAAAACAAGACAAAAAGATTTTGATAAGCAAAAGATAAACAGCCTTTCTTCTCATTAGTTGGACTATTTGCGGCATGGGGTGTCATGAATTTAATTCATGCTCATGCACTGCATCCTCTACGCACACACAAACATTTGCTTCAGTGGGAGTTTTGCAAGAGGCTCCCCACCTCCAGTTGGAGACTAAGCTTTAGGATAGGAATATATATACTATTCACTTGTCTTTGTATGCTAAATGGAAGCCTGTGTTCTGTTTCAGCAAGGAAGCATACACTGCTCTGGACTCAGGAGATACTGGCTCCTGTGCAGCTCCTTTCTGGGAAACTGTGTTTAGTAAGGGGCTCTTGAGAGTGAAAATGAAATACAAACTATGTTAGGTGAGCAGTAGCTGGTAAAGGAAGCCACATGGCCCATTTGGCTTCTCTTTTTGGAACTGTTCCAATTCAGATATACTTAATGGTGTAAACCAGAGTAAATCCCATTTTGTTTGAGAGCAATGGAGCCAGGTTGCAAAGGGGAAATATGCAGACAAGCATGACTAAAATCAGAGAGTCAGTTGGATAGGTGAGTTCCAGAGACACTGACTGAAAAGTCACATAAACCATCCATTGTATGCAGCATGGCTTCTTGACTCTTTTGTGCTTGCACCCAGATGTTGTTCCCCAGAGTAACCCACAGGAGCCCAAGAGGAAATGTACTGTGCCAGGAGACATGTTGGAGAACAAAAAACTCTCCAGAAAGCTCTTTCTCAAGAGAGGCCTCAGGGGTAGCCCCAGCTACAGAAGGCTGAGACTGTGTCAGGGGCTGGGAAATGTGTATGCGCTCTGGCCTCTCAGCCACCATGGTACAAACGGGCTGGTGTTCTCCCACCTCAGGGACCTGTTGCATAGGTGTAGGCCGGAGGGACCAGTTCCACTAGTTGGTCTAAACACACTGTGTAAAATCCAAATTACTCAGTATGCATTTCCTGGAAAACAGTTGTCTCCTTTTCAAATTTTCATTGAAAACTTTATGGGTAGATTGTGGGGTTTGTGGATATTTATTCTAAATTACAAATGGCACAAGAAGAAGTCAGTTTCTTCATAATAAACACTTTGTACTGCTGCTAACTTGCGCAGTCTAAACATAAATCGAGGTATCCAAGCACTGAGAAAGCTGCAGTTTAATCCATGTGAGGCTCTTCTCTGCTTTAAGCCAAGGTTGAAATTAGAAAGGGTAAGATAGAATTGAGAAACTCAGATTATCAACAACAATTTTGTAGCTTCATTTTCTACTATAATCATATGGTGAATATACTAGAAAATGGGCTCTGGGTTTGCATTTCCTTCTAGTCTTGTGCAGCAGGACATTAAATAATAGCATTTGCAGTCTGATCTGCACTTTAATACGTTTTCTTCACTTGCTTAATTGTATTAATGGAAAGAGGAGGATGATCTTGTGGCGAGGACAGAGTACTGGAAGTCAGGTGATCTGGGTTATATTCAGAGTTCTGCCACAGGCTTCCTGTGTAATGTAATCAGGTTTGCTAATATATAAAATGAAGATAATGACATTTCCCCTCCTTACCAGGGTGTTGTGACACTTAATTCATTAATGTTTGTAAAGTGCTTTGTGTTCCTTGCTTCTAAATGTGCTCCTTACTGTAATAATGTCTTATGGATGGTATTAAATTTGAGAACAATGTTACTTCAGTGCCTGTGCACTTCAGTTGGCTGAAGTGTAGTAAAGACCATTATTTTCATGTATTTTATGAGCTACTGGAATTTTTTAGATGACTTACTTGAAATTTAGCTAATACAGTTACAGTTATAAAATATACTTTGTCAGCACTATGACTGCTTCTTATTTTTTTCTGTCCTTTCACTATGATGAAATATTTAGCAATAAGCAAGACTGTCTTGTTCAGACTAAAAGAAGGAAAAAAGAGTTTGGCATAAATACTCGAGCTGCTTGACTTCCAGCTCTGCTACTGAATCTGCTCTCTACCCTGGTAAATCACCGAACAGCTCTGTGTCCCAGTGCAAAATGCACAGAAAAATTGAGCAAGAAATAAAGTAAAAAAAATCTGGGGATATGAAAATGGAGAGTTTTGGTATTTACCTAAATTGTAGCAGCACTACAGGTCCAAGCAACTGTATAGTTTATGTAGTACAGTTAAAAACAAAACAAAAAATAGTTAACTTGCAAAATCTCTGAAGGTTTGGCAATGCAACTCCCAATAAATTCACTACAAATCACACAGCTAAATTTCTATATTGCACAGGAAAATAACTCAGCTAAAATTGTCTTAATGTGCGTTACAGTATGTTTGTTAAAGCAAATGGAAGTTGTGCATAGAAGTGAAAGTAGAATAAACTGCTGAGTTTTTTAAAAACAAAAGCGAGAGTATTATTAACGTTCATTGTGCATATCTGGATTTTTCAGAACGTGGTAGTTCACTGAAATTCTGCTCCTATATGAAATCAAATGCTTATCAGACAATTGTAATAAATAAAGCTATCTGTTTTTAATAGCCAGTGATAATTACATCAGGTGAAGAAAGGAATTACAAACTTACCATAAATAGAAGCAATTCATTGAAGGCTGTACAATGTTTGTCAGGCAGTAACCACGCTGCTGGTACAGTACAAGAAAAAGTATACATGTCCCCTTACAAGCACTGTCCAACATTAGATTAGTAGGAAGAAAGGAAAGCAGCTGACACTTACTATCAATATAAAAGTTCCCAGGAATTCTGAAAGAGCTTCTTTAATCAAGCTGTTCTTCAAGGCAAATTTCTCCTTTAAACTGCTTTTGCTTTTCCGGCTCATTTTGGCTTCCTCTATTGCTCTGGTGCCCTAGTTACAAATACACACAAAATTTGCTCTGTATTCGTCCCTGCTTCGGCTGAACTTTGACACTTTTACTTATACATTGAAATATGAGATTTGATCTTGTACAGCCAGTGAAATCATCTGACTGCAGGCATTGACAGAACCAACTCAACATGCCCTAACAATTCATCATGAGTTTTCCATCCTGTGCCTTCTCTGAGTACACTTCTATTTATACTGGTTAGATAATACCAGTAAGTTCACAATCAGAACTCTTCCTTTTTCTTGCAGAATGGATTAATCATTACCTTTCCTGCTATGTTACTTTTTTTTTCTGGTAAAAATGAATAAAACTTTGTCCCTGTCACCCTGATTAAGAAGAAAGGCAAAAAGAGAAACCACAAAGTAAGGAACCAAAATATGGTTGAAAATTTCTCTCTGACCTAGATTGGGATTTAAACCATGCTACTACTGGCTGTCCAAAAGCTTTTCAAGGGGAGGTTGTAAAAGAGTGAATGCTTGTGAGAATGCTGTGCTCTACCCTGTAAACAAAAGCTTCTATCTTGTCACTTCTGAGGCATTTCAGTGGCTAATGAGAAATCTTACCTTGGTGTAGTATGTTGAATTTGTATATTCACTCACAATACTCTTTTTGGACTAAATGCCTGGCTCTCTAGTGACCCGCCCTATTTACAAAAGAGCAATGAGGCAGAATAAATTAGGAACATTTAATGAAATCTGCTTCGGTCCAGTGGCTCCCTATAATGCAGTATAGGCAAGTGAGGCACTGAGTGACTATATGTCTCCAATATGTTTAGGTTAAAAGTGCATAGGTGCTACAATATGAAGCATTATAATACTATTTTCCATGGTCTTAAGACATGAAGTTGCTGAATATCTCAAAGAATTGGGCCTCCTAGAGAAAAATATTACACTCTCAGTCTCTTAAGCGTCTTGAATGGTTTTATCAGATGTGATACTGACTTGACTAACATGCTGTCTGGTTGGTTTACAAGTATTTTCTGTCATTTGACTTGACAGCAAAACCTTAACCCAGTTCTGGTAGATTATTTTGGCATGTGTTGTAGATGCTCGGTGCCTTGGTTTTATCTACCCTAAACCTTTTCCACTTTGGTGGTAAATATGTTTAGGTCTGTCAGTACTGTTGTCTGCTGTGAATAGGACAGAGCTTTACAAAATTGGGCAAATGGGACACTTCTGTTATCCCATCGATGCTCTTCCTTGCCTCAAACTAGGACCTGATGCATGTTCCCTGCAGCTGTAGTCACTTTACCGCCACCAGCTTCATCCCTTAACCACCCAGTTCACCCCCACCACCCAATTTTAATCCTTAACTGCTTCCCCATGTCCTTTTACTCACCTTTCTCTACCTCTGCATTCAAATACCACTCTGCCTTCAGCTGATTCAGAAAATGCTGGCCTGTGGAAAGCCACATCGCTGATGAATTATGAGATGACTGCATCTGTACTGGTGCTGCATGAGTCTGGGTGAGCACCTGTGCAGCAGCAGACATGCTTTGTTGTAGGAGTGCTACAGATCCTGCACTACAGGACCTGCCTGTAGCGCAGGTCCACGCTTGCACAGACAGCTGGGAGCTGCCTCTGGGAAGCCCCTGAAAATAGCCTGTGTACGGCAGTTTGAAAACCTTTACCCTACACCACTGCAAAACAAAGATATTATTCAGGACTTTAATTATCACAGCATGCTAAAGTATATGTTTATTATGTCTCTGAGAGAAGTCTTTCAGAATTATGTATACAGTAGAACTGAGGGAGGATGCTAGGGAGGCCATTCATTACAGCAGAAATGAGATAACCACTTCCTCTCTTCCAGGAAAATGAGAAATAAATAAATACGTTTATGAAAGTAATTTTTAGTTGTTTGTCCATAGCAGTTCTTTCTCTTATGTAGATGCAGGTCTCCCTGATAAAGTAGTATGCAGATACCTCTTAGTTTAGTCTCATAACTTCAGGTGTGAAGGCATTAATGCTATTTTTCAACTAACAATAGGGCAATAACATGTCAGAGACAGAAACCCCTACTCGTTTGTCTGGATGATGTTGCCTTCCTTATAACAATTTTCTGTCTTTACAGGGTGGAAAACTGACACAAATATGTATATTTTACATTTGCTTTCTTCAGACTTTCTTCAATGCTTTGTAGAAATCACATGATTTAACTCTATTAATAAGAACTGTGATGCTAAGTTAGACCAAAGGTCCTCCTCAGCTCCATAATCAGATTCAAGCAGATGCTCTAAGAAAGTATAGAAGAACAGAATACATAGGGGATGATTGCTCCCTTGGTAAATCCTTCCAGCTTTTGGCAATTTAAAGTCACTGCTATGCTTCTATTTTTGAAATAGAAAAGGGGGCAACACAGAAAATTTGAATTAAGTTTCTCCTTTTATTGTATTCAGAAAGAGGTTCTAAAGACATGTCTAAAATCTAACAAATGTGTATGTAGCATTACAAGAAAGACAAGTAAAATGTAAAGATAAACACCATGAAAGCTTTGACCTTAATTACTAACCCATGTGGTCCATGCTCCGTGTTACTATCTTTTAGTCACATGCAGTGGACCAGCTGGTTGAACAATGGAAAGAAAATACACTGTGATTACTGCTTTCTACTGATCTCCCTGACCTGGGCCCTGATCCCAGAGTCATAGTGGTAAGGATACTGGTAGTGCCATCCATAAATATCGACAGCTGTGGTGCCTGAGGGAAGAAAATGCAGACATCCTTCAAAAATGGAAGTTGTATATAAGCAAGGAGCATAGAAAGAGCATAAACTCTGTCATATTAAATGTAGAACCACAACAGAGCTGACCAAAAAGATTTTAAGATTTTGCCAAGAATGTGGAAGTAGTATAAACTTTTTCAAATTCCATCACCAGAGGAGTCCTGCAAGACAGTAAGTAAAGCTATAGAGGATGAAAGTGTAGAAGAGGCATTCAAGGTGGCTAACTCCACAGCTAAAAAGCTAAAAGAATTATTTGCCTTGCTAAAGAACCAAACGTTAGGTGGGCTGAGCGTGAGGAACTGTCCTAAAATGAATTGTCAGGAGGAAAGACTTCAAGGAAACTTGATAAGTTAAACAGTAACTAATTGCTCGAGCTGTGCAGTGTTTCTGCCAAGGGATTCAAATGTTCAGCTACTGAAGTGCTACTGCCAGTGGGTTGTTTTTTGCTGAACCCAATCCTAATGCCAGCAAAATAGAACATAGGTAAAAGTACCACTGATCCACTGGTCTTTCAAAAGAGTCCTCCAAGGGTGATCATGGGAACTACAAAACTGTCAATATGACTTCTATGAAAATTAGATGAACTGTTGTAAAGGATAAAATCAATAAACACTTAGATAAAGCTGATACTCTGTAGAAGCATCAAATGGATTCTGTTAAGGGAGGTTATGCCTCACAAATCTATTGGCATTCTTTAAAGACATCAAAAAGCACGCTGATATTATTGTTCATGCTTGAACGTGTGATCAGCGTAACCTTAGATTGCAAGACTAAGACCCTTGGAACCCTTACCCCAGGGCAGTCTGGACTGAACTATTTCTTCTCTTCACCTGGATTCAAGTAGAGCAGGAATTCACACAGTGTATATAACCTAACCATTTTTATAGTAATCTTCACTCCTATAGAAATAGCAAAGTAGAGAATAATACACATAGCTCCCACAGTTTAAATCCCATGGGTAACAGTATATGCTGTACTGAATTTTTAATAGCGCATTATTCAGAGTATCACATAAATTGTTATTACTGATGTAATAAAACCTAAACCAACACAGCTGGAGAGACCAAGGCTATAAATGCACCATATATATTTTTGTATTGTAATAATATGGGCCAAATTATTTTTAAGTCTAAATCTGTTGATTTTAGCTGAATTAGACAAAGTCTAAACGTATACATCTACTATAATTCATGTCCCTGGTCAAATGCCTTTGCCTAATTTATATTTATGTTTTCATACAGAAACTGCTGCATGGTCCTTAAAGGACATTCTCTGTTTTATGGATTGATCCTGCTGCTGGGGAACTCAAAGAAAAAAATTCAGGTGAGGAAGATCTGAACACACTGTAATTCAGCATTCTAAGCTTTTTGAGTACATAAAAAACCTATTTCTTTAGTTCTTGTGTTTTCTGATCATCCCTCTGCTCCCTGGTGAAAAAGTGCTCATGGGGGCAAACATCTGCAATGTGAAGCTCAGGTATAGCTGAGCCCACCTTGGAGGAGGGTAGGGCACATGAAGTGACCCCTGGAGAATCTCTTTGTTCTTTCTTCTCCGTTTCTGTGATCTCAGTGTCCAGATAAAACATTTCAGTCCAGATCATGAATATGAGATCAAAACCACACCACATATGTGTGTTTCAAGCTTTCTGCCAGTAATCTTTAAGGCCCGATTCAAAGCTTATTGAAGTCTGCTGTTGCTGACGCTGATTTCAGGGAAAAGTAAATTGGACTTTCTCTAAAGCAGGACCCAAAACTTTTCTTTGTTCTTGATCGGCTGGGCATGCCATCAGTGCATAACTGATGTTAGTACACATAACTGTATTATATATCGTTATATAATTGATGATAGTAAATTTTCAAATTTGTTGTACAGACTTGTCTGTGTATAATAGAGGCCCTGAGAGTTTCCAAGCCAGTTTAATCCCTGCAATAGCACAGTGGGGCGCAGATAACGTTCCACACCAAAGGGCTCCGTGACAGGACTGTCAGTGCTGGCAAAACGTGAAAGTGTTAGGGAACTGCTGTACAGACGGTTACGTGCACCAGTGTTATCTGCTGTGCTTCCTTCTGAATGTGCTGGATACGGTTCTAGTATAAGCTTATCTGGTAGGTTACAGTATGGACAGGTCTGACTTTCTGAATGTATCTGGAAAAGGCTGTTTCAGTACGAGAAAGAATTTTGCTTTTAAGGAATAGATCAATTTAGTACAGGCAAACGCTTTGTTGCAGCCAATCCCCTGCTCTTTTTTTCTGCATGTTCTCTTTTTCGAACAGTTAATGTACACGAGAAGTAAATGTAAGGGAAGATTATTGACAGCATGTTCTTTTTAAAATAACTCTTTCCATTTCCAAATTCTTTATAAAAAGCTCTCAAAATGGAGATCAAATTTTTAAATTCACCTTTGCCATTAAAAACAAAAGATATCTGGGTAAATATATCCATACAGCATGAA